CATCATCATCATCATCATCATCATCATCATCATCATCATCATCATCATCATCATCATCATCATCATCATCATCATCAACGATGTTCCTTCAACTAGAATTGTTATTTTGAGGTTAAATAGCGAAAAGTAATCACGAAGATGAAAGTAGATAAAAGCGGTCACCAGGTAGACCATGCGAAGCCGTTCTCGGTTTTGTTACGTCACTGTGACAAACACCGACTAAGGATACTCGAGGTATTATCGATCGCTCAAAACAAACCCACGCTGTGTCCANACACACACACACACACGATTAAACCGAATTAGATTTCTTAATACGCTTCATTTGTCTATGTTGTTCAGTGTTATACTTACGTGACCGATGAAACTGTACGAAAGGAATTCTCTCGCAGTGCTTGTCTTCTGACTTGCCTGTTCAAAATTAGTTGTGTTTCTGTGGAATTGACTACTACCCCGCAGTTGTGACACGAAACCTCGATGAAATTCGCAATGAGTCTATTTATATTATTAACGATGAGCGATATTCGATGTCTCTGTGTAAACATAACATGCAAACTTCAGAATAATCAAAGTTGCGTAATTTAATTGTCATCAGACATGCTTAAATTGGGTGAATAAATGTTTACAATTTTAGGGCTTTGATCACTGAATGATTCCGTTAGTAAATGTAAGCTTTCGCCATAGACATAATACAAGTAAAGTGATTCAAGATTAAATCTGAGGAATATTCTTAGTATTTGATATATTCAACACGATTTAATGTCGTTTGACTACCTATCAAAGTAATATAACTAAAATTAGACCTTTTGGTACTGGTATGTTCGGTTTATTCACACTAAGCTCATTTATTGGTGATTGAAGACAAAAATGGAGCCTGTAGACCACACTTAACAGTTTCGGTAATGATGTTACATTCAGCATGATGAAATTTACATAGAATGAAAAAGGATGCAATACGTGACTTGGAATAATTCAATAATGTTACATAAAACATGTGTATATTTGAAGCATGAAATAAAGCAAGTCCCTTTAATGATTATATAAAAATCGGAGTAACCACCAAAGGTTTTCTGAATAAACAACATATCACAAAGTTGAAAGAAGTCACGTAATGTGTGATTACTAAGGTGTTTGTGTACAGGTTAAAGGACTTCTACGATCTACTGGGCTAGTTTGTGATAAGGCGAATCGTGCATGGACAACTTGAACCATAAACAGACAGATGGTTTATGTGTCTTTTCTGAATAGCTTCACAGTATACGGTGTAGGGTAATCAAGGTTTATGACAGAACTCTAACTATATGATTAGGGGCCTATAATCATCATGGTAAATGTAAGTCAACGTTTTCCTCTATAGGGTTATCAGTGCTCTTGGGAGCGGTTACAAAGCCTCAGCTAGTAATTGATGCTCTTTTATTCATTTCCCATTGAAAGATAAAATGTGCATCTGGTGCGATTATGCTACGCTATTATTCACGAATGACTGATAACTACTAACTTCTGAATTGTTATTTATCTAAGATAGACACAAAATTCTGTTTTATTTTCAGAATCCCCACCGGCCAGCCTCTATAGAGGAGACGATTCCGAAAGTTTTGGCTTCCAGGAACGTGTGTCTGAAATTTCCACTCCGGAAGCCAGTGTTGTCAGTAAGCGAGACTGTATTCATAAATGTTTGAACTTAACCAAATCAATGTTATTTGTTTTCGACAAACAGTATTCAGATGGTTATGTAGTTAGCATCACATGATGGATCATGGTCTCGTCAGCAAAATGGTTGCACTGTATTCTCCAAGCTGAACCCTGAATCCAATCGAAGATAAAAATATCAGTGAATTATCGTTGATTATTTTCGTAGATATGGGAAGTATTCATTTTCATACATCATCCAGTTGAATTCGCATATTGAATCGAACAACCAAAATAAAATCAATATCATAAAAAGCTTCATCAAATACTGTTTGCCGTGGAGTATTTTCGTTTTTTAAATGCAAAACTCGACAGATTACTATAGTCATTGCAGAAAAACATCACGATTTCAATCATTATAAAAGTGCTTTAAATTACAGAATAATTATTCCCCAGCACAACTTCTAGTTATATTTATGGGTATCAACTGATTACCTTGTTTTTGTTCCATCAAGTAACTCAGAATAAGGCTGCATATCTTTTCACTGAACTTGCGTTAAGAGAACATTTGGCTGATTTAATATAATAAGCTGGGTAAATCCAGAGTATGCTAAGTTAAGATACAATAACTTCATTGAGTTTTGATTTACTGTCTGTCTTCTGTTGACAGTAGCTTTAAACTGAAAGTGAAAGAGCTCGGTGTAGCTTTGTTCTAGTATTCAATGATCAGTGATTTTAATGCATTCTAAAGTAGTCTATGTTCTCACATAAAAATGAGGAAAATTTACCTGCTGAAATTGGTTGATATGCAAATTTCTTAGCCCTTTGGAAAAGTAAACCAAACTACTTAGTGTAAAAAGAAGCATGCAACTACACACCCGAATATCCGTGCTATTTGGGTTGCAAGGGCCTCGTGGTATTTCAGCGGCCAATCATTTTTGTGGACCGAACGGAGCCAACAGCCTATAGGCTAATGGGCTATCACGTGGCAAACTGGTGATTGGCTAGCGGGTGTCGGTCAGATATTGACCAATCACTAGTACGAAATCGATCATACATATGATTGGCTACGGTAAGCACATTTACTCTGAATTCGACTAGCTTCATTCTATCGAAACTTGGCGCGCCCGACGGATGTTTTAACCGGAATTTTACTTATTTCAGGCTTCTAGACCGCAGTTGGCGAAGCAGCTCATGTTAGGATCGAACCCGAATACCGGATGCTTGAATTTCGTGCAGCCCATTTCATCACACAACAAATAAATCAAAAACTAATCATTCATTCCGAGCGAGGTTGAAAGTATAACGAGCAAGAAAATCCAGGATGTCCATACAAGAAAGGTGAGTCCCCGAGGTACTTTAGCTGGCTATCTAAATTTATAAATGCACAATAAATCACTTTTCATATAATCAACTCGGTAAAATGAGCCAGAGATGGTAAAATTTATCTCAAATGGGAATTCGCGTGTACATGGAGCGTGAAATGGAAAGCTAAGAAGCACTGGACAGCTGTTTCTATCTTATGAGGTCTCATCAATAGTGCGAACCTAACAACTTGACTAGGGATCAAACCCGAGACCTCACAGGCGAAATGCAAGCATGCTACCCTTGTCGGGTCGATGGATTCGCACTGCTGTTGAGACCCCACAAGGTCGAAATAGTTATCCAGTGCTTCCTAGCTTTTCAGTTTGCACTTCATTTGCTATATACACGACGAATTTCCATTTGACATTGAATGAATTCCTTCTTTGCTGACTTGAAATTTACCTACTTCTTTTCCATTGACAGTGTCTAGCAACCAATTGCTAAAATCATTGATCTGCTTTTACCATGTGCTTTATATATGAAACGAATTTCTTTTTCCATCCTTGTTTGTGTTGAAATGTTCTGTATTTAGTGGACCGGTAAACGATAGAAGAATCATAGTTGTTGGAGTACTAATCACTTGTGAGTAGTTGGCAAATAGATGCGATCGTCCATTTCTTTGATCGGGCAAAAATGAGCAAGACATGTTCGTGCAAATCTCTACTTTTCGGTCTGATAAATACAAGAATGAACCGTTCCATCAACTTTCCTGTGGGCGTGTGGGGGTTCTACAGAGCAGTAAGACTTCTTACGCATAATGCTACGTGAGAATATATTCTATTTCTCACGCATATGAGTGTAGACTGTGTGCTGAACAACTCAAGATAAAATAGTTTTTATAACAAACAAAAATGGGTCGATCATTTCGGTGCGAACATGACATCTGTTGTAATGTATGAAAGAATGGTCCCTGCGCTTACCCAATACTTAACCAATTCAGTTCACTTTGCATGACATTTACGCTGGTTTTGAAGTGCCCTAAAAGTGAGCACTCTCCACGAACGAAAATGTTCAAAAAACGGTGAATATGCCGATGTTTCACTTGATCACTAAAGATACTCACGGTTTACCAGTCCTTGCCTTTAGTCAGAACATGTTTTTTCTAGTTTACTGAATTTTTTATAACTATTAATCAAGCACTCCCCTGCGGTGGTTTCGACTAATATATTCTGGTTGCTCATTTGGATAAAAGAGTAGATGTAAGATTGGAATTGACAAAGTAATAAAAACCGGTTCTCGTGGCTCGGGTAAACTGAATTCTATTTCGCCTGTTTGCCGAGCTTGGCGATTTGTTTGCAAGCGTTTTATCACCAACCGAGGTGACATCATCAGTGCTTGTGAAGTGGCAGTCTTCTGCTATAACTGGGTTGGTGGAACACTGGTAGTTCACATAGGAGATTTGGCCAAAATCCCTTATTCCAACCCCCACCCCGGATATGGCAGTGGTCACCAACTCAAATGGGCATCGAGGCGCATTAGACAGCTTAGACGTTTGACCCCGTCCAAAGGACGTATGATCCGATGAACCGGACACCAGCAACAAATCGATGGCGGTTTCTACACACCGCTCAGCTGCCTTGCGGATCAGACTTTGGATAGGCAAATGCCTCGGTTGTGGATTTCTCAAGAACATTCACCCTCTTTGATCTGGGCAACTGGCAGTATTCAGCCCACATGCATATCATGGAACGTTTATCTTTTTATAAAGATTTTTGATCTGTTTGACACAGTCTGGAGTCACACGTGTGAAAATACAATATAACATTATATATTTATATATATATATCTGTGTCAATACAAGTGATTTTCTTTTCATCGTGTACACCCATCAGGATCAGTCGTATGCGTGAAAACAGCTCGAATTGGCGCAACCGGGTGCAATTCAACTCCTTTGATGAACCGATTCCCAGCATGGAGAGTATTCGCAAATCGTTAGTAGACAGTCAGAAAAGTTGGCAGAAACGAGTTGAGGAAAAGGATGTGGATAATTTCACCGTTGCAGGCCGCCTGCGAAATTGTAAGTACGTTTCCCTGTTTGTGTTAGTAGGTCAACGATCGTCTATTTTATCTGTTTGATTCATAAAATGGCATACATCAAGGTCAACACAAAAGGAGCATTGCAAAAAGTGCATTAGCCCTAAAACTTCTATTGTACAGTCACGTGATTTTGTCTGCCTACAAAATAGCCTTGCGAAATTCATGGTTTTTAATGATGGTGAACAATTTTAAACTTTTAGTCGATTAGAGAAAAACATCAAAAATTGTACGGTGAAACACACAAAATTTGTTATCTCAGTTATCTACCATTTTCCATTTCAAGTGTTTCACATTCTTTTCACTTTGTTCTGTATTCCAATTCGTCTGCCCCCTGTTACTGTTATTGTTATAATTGTGGCGTTGGCACCGGTATATATATATATATATACATATATATATATATATATATATGATACAAAATCATCTGAGTAGCACCGATTTTCATGCTGTATTTTAAAAATGCTTTCTCTTGANCTGAACGAGGATTTCAAGATAATTTTCTGGGGCGATAACTTCCGATAGTCACTGTACTTGTGAACAGCACACCTGATTCGCTCGTTGCCAATGATTCGGTCTCGTTTTTGCCCTCCCTCGGACCAAAGAAAATTCCATTTTGCCTAACGATCGGATACTATGCAGGCAATTTTTTCATCTATCTTCCTCAGAATTTTTACACTTTTCATTTGCCAGAGGATTGATAACATGCACCAGGTATGGAAGTGCATGAACCATTGGTAATAACAAGAGGGGTATTGAATTTGTTTCTTGTAGTTGTACAGTGTAAATATCTATCTATATTCCATTTAAGTACAAAGTTTAAGTTAAGAAGGTTCAAAACGCCCTAATTTTAATTTGCCGTCAAAACTTTGCTCCCCATTGGTGCAGTGAGGCGACAAAAGCTTCAGCGAAGCATTACTCTGTACCAGACAAGCAGTAAGTTTGTGTAGTCGTCCTGACGTGTGTGTGCTTCATTCATTCGTACGAGTTCACAATTCCACGTACCATTATGCATCGTTCAATCGATGTTCGTCCCCCTGTCTACCCCCGTGATATCAAGCCTCATGGTGATTTTCCTTCGGTGTTTTCATCTCTTCCTTTCCATTCTAAAGTCCACTCTGTTCCGTCTAATTTCATCAATTCTAGATTTGCACGGTGTTTATGCAACAAAACCGAAAAGCCTTCTAAATGGTGAACTGCATGAAAATCCATCATACCACTAACTATCAGAGTTTTATTGACAAAAGAACCAAAATAAAGTGGGACGACATTATGAGTACACTCCTAACATGACCACAGCATAATGATTCCACCACCGGTGCATTGTTTTCTGGCTGTTGTGGTGACTCACCAAGGACAGTCAGGCGATCACCTGTTATTTGCTGTGTTTTTAGCCTATCGACAGATATTTGAGGCCTCCGCGTTCCATATCGCTGCACAAATGGATTCATCTCGTTGCTTTGTTTCACGGTGTCCCGTGGCAAAATCGTGTTACTATTAGATAAAGAAAATAGTTGTTTCTATATTAAGACTTCTGTAAAACAAAAAAACTTACACTTCAGTAAAAATAATTGATCCGCGAAAAAATCATCACCTTTTGTTTGGGAAAATAGACACAAAGCAACTAATCTAAGCGGGCATTAGCCGAAAATCAGACACAATTGTTAGCCACATCCAATAGTCTTCGATGACAAATACCTTCATAAACAAACCATGCGCTAAGAATTGTATTGACCAATCATGGCAAACGTTAAAGCAGAAGCAACTAAGTCGATGTTAATGGATATGAGAAGCATTCATACGAAGGGTGCACGGTCTCATAAAGAATATTATTTTTTGATAGTTTCTCAGACCTCGATTTGATGATTACTTAACAGTCTAAGGAGCGAAAGACAACTTTTCTCAGTTAAACCGTAGTCTATCCCCTGAAACTTTTTTGAGTTCACCGCGCAAGATAACGAGGAAGCAGTGAAGTACAATAGATGAGATACTTCGACAAATATTAGAAACAATAACGAATTATTTTGCTGCAAACTAAGTCTACGAAGACAAAAGACGGTTGTGTAGTTGTTCTTTCTGTAACCCGGAAATTCGGGCACCTATGTTGTTTGCAGATGAAACAGTTTTATCTTCGTACGCGGATAGTGGCATCGATTTGCTCCTAGGTGGTAGACCGTCTGATCTGGAGTATGCAGACGACATTATGCTACTGAATGAAGATCCAGGTAAGTTGCAAGCTTTTCTAGGTAGTTTGCTCACTAGTATAGCTATTTTCCATATGCGGTTTGCACCTCCAAAGTGCAAAATGTTGCTACAAGACTGGGTTGGCCCAGATCCCAGCCTCGCCTTAACTGGAGAAGTATCGTAGCACGTAGACAAATTTTGCTTCCTGGGCAGCCAACATCTCACCTGGCAGACGCGGCACAGATGAAGTGTCGGCAAGCATAAAGAAGGCTCAATTGACATTTGCCAACATCTGTGGCGCCGTTACGACGTCCAGCTGTCTGTGAAGAGTCGAGCTTATGCTACAGTAGTCCGCCAGTCCTGCTATACGATGCACATTTGGCTATTAAGCGAGCAGGATAAAAATAGATTACCGGCGTTCCAACACATCTGTTTACGCCATGTTGCACAAGTTTGGTGGGGTAACCAGTCAAATGAGGTTGAGGTTAGGTAATCGCAGTCATTCACTGTTGCAAGTGGTTAATCGCCATAGACCACGCCGGTTGCGATGTGTGTTGCACATGTCACCGAAGAGGCATGCTGAGCCAGGCACTGGATGGAAAAAAGTTCAAGGGTGATCAAACTAAGACCTTGAATGTGGGTATGAAAACTCCAATCAGAACACTGGGTCATATGGGTGCCATTAGGTTCCCATGGGGACCTGGTGATTATGGTAACTGGAGGTTAGAGACACTGAGTGATGTGGCTCAGGATCAAAACTGGTGGTGCTCATGCATCTACTGAATATTTTTCAACCCTTATCTGAATGAATTCGTTTATTTTCCGCTTAAATTTTCTCTCAACATTCTAATCTTTATTTTGCTTTTGCACACAAATAGCCGGTCAAAAGACAGCAACCAAAACCGGCACACGAAAGTGCATGGTTTATGGTTGTAAAAACTGGAAGTAAAACTGAAACTGAAGCTTTTGAGATGTGGCAGAGACGACTATGAGCAGGTCATCGGATTTGTGGGACACTGGAAGACTGGAAATTTATTCGTCAGACTTAGGTATGTGGGGATAGAAGCATAAATGAGACGAAAGCTTCTTATCAACTATGATACTTTGAGTAAGATTGGAAAAGTAACTTTTCAACCACACAATCCTGAATAATTATAAGATTCTGGGTTTAGAAGAAGTATAGATTGGATAACTAGAACAACAGCAGAAGAATAAACAGAAATAAAGAGTTATCACACAATTGTCTCAAGTTTAAGTAATCGAATGGAAGATGCAAGGGATCATATCCAGGTGCATCTCTTTGGTTTATAGATCAATCGATATTAGTCACAGTGGGTAGCAACGGAAGATCGTAACAAGATGAAGAAAACTCGTTTCAGCCTCAATTCATAAAACATCATACAGATAGACCTGAAACGCTTAGAAAGTAAATTGATGGAAAGATTCTTGGAAATCGGAACAACAGTTAAGGGCTTCCATGAGATGAGGACAACATTGTCCTCTAAAGTTGTGTTAGTAAGTACCCTCAGTGTTTGCGTGCGTGGCTCGATTCCGTGTTTCAGTAGAGTGTAAGAGACACTACGGTCCAGGGTTAATTAGTTTGGTTGTTTTGAGAAGCTTAAAATTGCCTTCAAAGGTGACTGGTTCCGAGACGGGTGGATAAGAGACTGTGTTAAATATCAGATGTCGATAGATGACTAAATGCAGCGTTTAGGCTGTCATGATCAGAACTGGCACATCTTGGTCGTGCACGCTGCCCCCTTAAGATTTTGATTCTTTGACAGTGAATGATACCCAAGCAAATTCCTAAAATTGATCGGCAAAGCCCTGTTTAGATGTTGCTACTGTGTTTGATATGGGTGGAACTGAGCTTGCCTGACGCATGGTCTCATCTTTTGTAGACGTTCTTCCATCTTCTCAGAGCTTTCAAAAGCGGAAGGACAACCCTAACATTTTAAATAAATTGGGCCTCAAAGTAGAAATCTGCACTCTGGTTTTGGAAAGAGGTTCCAGATTAGAGTGTTTGAAAGCGCATTTAAAGTTTGTAAGCAAAATTACGAGGTGATGCTAATAGTCGAACAGTCTGTTTACAGTATATTGATATCCTCCCGGAAACATCGAAAACGTTGGTTCATTGCTACTTATTGATTCCCAGTTCTCTTAGGTCCCTCAAAAAGACGTGAATAACTAGAGGAACGGGACCGAAAGCGCACAGTTGACCAATCCGTATCCAAAAGAGCAACCAATGACTCAGACTATACGTTTGCAATTTCAATAATAAAGGGATAACAAACACCTTTTAATACCTTCAAACGATGGAAACACAAGAAAATGAGACAGGGATCTCCTTTGAATCGGCATCCAATTCATCGGGGGTAGAGAAATGCGCATGGAAAAGCCAAAACGTACGTTTCCTTGTATTAAAAGCTGGGAACTGTTAGTATCATCGATTCGGAATAAATGCTTGAAAGGGTACACAAATTGTTCATGGTCACATTTTGGTGATCATTTTTCTACAAACCCAGTGGCTGAATACGTTCACTTTTCCCAATGGGCCGTGGATTCGGTGATCACTGTGCAAGGCTGCACACTAATTGTGCACTAATTGTCAAACGAGACTGACGAAATTCGAGTAGCCTATAATTTTGGTGCGTACAGCATATTAAAGGGGAGAAATCAACTATTGTTAAATTAAACAGCTTATCACATTTGTCATCCATGTTAACATCATGAACAATCTGGNCTGGTAATCACCAACAGTGTAACCCTTCAACCAGTCTTCGTCAATACCACCCCCACCCTCAAGCTATTCTGTCATGCATGAATCATTTGGTTCCTTTCAAAATCCTTCTCCGCTCGTGGGATTCGCATGATCCCCTAATTATTGTTCGACGCACTTGAACATCATCTGCCACCTGTACGCACACACCTCATCTTTTCACACTCTCTATCACGATTCACAGCCCCCACAAGTGGCTCTCCAGAACCACCAACCGCCTCGAATGATTTGGAACAAGCTATCAACTGTCCTAAACGCCTCCCGGCAGTTCCTATTGTGCGAGCAACAAGCAAAGAAAATCGTCCAAGTAAGTTCCAGACAAGCTGAGTCAATCCGTTCCTTTGATCAAAGTGAATTTGGTGAATCAAGCATGTGATAAATGGATAAAACCAAGCACACAGCCTTCACATCATCCAGTAGTCCCGTTAGATTATATTTTTTCTGAGCATTATACCTCTGGTTGTTCTCATTGCATTTTCAAACAAGTGGTTGACGTTTCTGGCAAACATAAAGGCTAGAGGTTTGATCGAGGATCATTACTTTAAGTTCAGGAGTACGTAGCAGTGAACGCGACGTTAAAGTCATTAGCACGGGTCATATTCGGTTTCTTGTTTCTTGGGTTTAACCGTGTAGAGAAAAAGACTTATTTTGGATAAACCATCTTCTCTGACTAATACTTGGCAGTTTAGCTAACTAAAGTGAAATGATTGTGTAGAGACAGTTTATATATATATATATATATCAACAACGAAATAATTATAAGCGTAGATAGTACTGTTCGTTCTTGGTTTGGTGTCAACTCAGATCAGTCAGGTGAAACTAACCTTTACGATATCTGTTTCAGTTTATGGAGTGTATGCACCCAAAAGGGTGAATTTTTAGCGATCTTCAAGAGAACACAGTGCAAGTGGAAAAGAACACAAAAGAGTGTGAACGCGGTACACAAAAATCACGATGTGCTTCAACTAAGAACACGATAGTAATAGCTTAACAAATAAATAAGTAAACTAACTCGCGAGATGTTCCACCAGACCTGTAATATTTGCTGCCTGGTTCGCTAAGAAGCGAACAAGGAAAGGGAGGATTCTGTTTTGTATTAGTCACAGTGCGTGCGGGAAGAAGATTATGATGAAAAGGGGTATGAATTTAAGAAGTTCGTTTTGAAGATAGTGATATATGTTGTTGAAGATTCTATCAACTATCTTTTCACACACGTCGATAGTTTTGCACACAATAAACACAACCAACTGGGATATGTCTGACTATGTCACTACCTCGGGGGAAGCAGTTTTATGGATCCGAAAATTAATATGAAAAAATTTCTTTCAGGCCGGGAAAAAACACAAAGGAACGGCACAGTCAATGAGAGAGAATGCATGCGACCATAAATTTGAAAATCATATCTGGGGGAAAAACCGGCTTCCTAAGCTTGATGGTATTGAAATAAAGTGTATGAACCCCATTGTAAACGTCCACTACGTGGCTAGTCCAGAAGAGATCGTGGAATAGAACGGCACCGCTATAAATAACAGAGTTAGCTTTGGGAACGCAGTGACCGTTCACGATCATTAAAAGTAGTTTGATAACGGGAGCCAGATTTAAGAGTGACGGGAAAATCAACACATTTGGAAACATCAGGCATAGGCGATTCGAGCAGAGTCCAGCTAAGAACGTCGTTCAAACTTTCCGGAAGTTATTGGAAAGATACGTGATCATTGGAGGGGCACCAAATCACCACTTCCTCGTCAGCATACAGACAATAAAGTTGATAGGAACATGTAGGCTGTATTTGTACAGGGAGAAAAGGATGAAGACAAAATGTCTCCCTGAAAGACACTAGAGTTAACATAGGAAAAGTACCAAGTTTTACTATTGCATGAAGTAAAATGCGTTCTAAACAAGAAATAGTTTAAGAGAATGTTTACTACGTAGGATCCTAAGCCGCAGTCAGTAAGGTGTTGAATGAGAATGCAACGACCAAGCTAAGCAAAGGCGTTGGCATAATCAACCTCCTGCACTCCTATCTGAAACTGATACCACAGAATGAACGGCATAAGCAACGGCGTCAAACGTTGATATAGAATGTTTATGAGCAAAGTGAAGAGAATCGAGATCATTAGAGGGCAGTGAATCGGTTCAGTGGCACTTTCAAAAACTTTCAACAGCCTTGATATGCAACCAGTCGATTGATACATTAAAGAGCTCCTCTCGAGAATGGGTCTTAACCGAGTAGCCCTCCAGCAATTGTTTCGGAAGACACACAAATAGAAAAACTCAGTAGTGGGTGTTGCAAGATGCTTGGTGCAGGTTTTCAACAGAATGGAGTCTAACTAGTCCAGTTCGGGTATCTTGTTAGACCGAAGTTGCTTCAAAATTTCAGAAACCTCAGTGGAGAGAAATATGGTTTCTTATTTTTACTTTCTTTTATTAAGCATCTCAAAATCCAATTTCTAGGAAAGAGGAGGCGGCAATTCAAAGGGCTGCAATACAACACACAGAGAATGGGGAATTTAGGCGGTGGTTGTGGGATTCAAACATACGTCTTCCCAGGCGATAAAAGTTTGATGACATGGCCACTGGGTTACCATCGCCCAGTTTTTGATTGAGTATTTGTTGATCTTTTCAGGGGAATTGAAAGCTGATGGTAGAGAATTAGAACAAGAGGAGGCAGAAAATCGTCACTTTAGTTCTTCTGTATCAGGACAAGTGTTCCCACTTGTGCTACTAACTTGCTTCACTACCGACCACATCTCGCGGCAGCTCTGGTTGTCCAGAATGGTCTCGATATACATCCCGTTCAAACGTTGAATCTCTGCTTAGATAGGAATCGATAATCGTTTAACATCGTTCATTCATGTTTGCCTTATCCTTATCAGAGCGAGGTCACTTTAGCAGAGGCGATGAAAATCTGTCAGTAAGGATATGTATACAGTCGAAATAAGGTAATACAAATCGAAACAGAAATCAAGATAGTCGGTCAGGTTTTCGCATCTCGAAGAGTTATTGGGATTAGAAAAAACAAGAAAATCAGTTGCGGAAATCATATACTAGAGTCTAGTAAGGTTATTGGGGGTACCATTCCTCCTTCGTATTGTCCGTTAACAATAATAATTTTACCTTTGATTTTAGAGTAAAACAGAATAGTACAGTTTTCTACAAAGAAGGTTTCTGAGATATTTACGAAAATGCCGTAGAGATGCCCTCCAAAAGAGTGGAGAAACTGTACAATAATAACCAAACCTTAGGAAAGAAACATTGGAGTGACTGATATCACCAGCCTCAATGCACATAGACTGATCTAAGTCTGTAACGAATGATGTCGAGAAATAGTCGGAAAACATTCGGATGCCAGAATTGAGTGTGTCAGGGGCAATGTTTACTAGCGCAATATGATGAAATTTACGAAGAAAGTGGGGTTTACCTTGAAAGAGAAGGTGGTTAAGTTTTCTGGTATTAAAATGAAACAAAAGTTTAGAGTTGTTACACCAAATACGGTTGACAAAAGTCACCACGAGTATTAAAGTTCACATTCTGATCCTGTCGAAAGATATCAGATTCATCAAGATAGATAAAACTATCCTCAATTTCAGGATGTAACCAACTTTCCTGGAGTATAATAATTCCAACGATTTTGTATACTTTTTTATGTATGATGCTCCTGACTTCATCAATTTTTCCCATAAGTGAGCGGCTGTTACTGGAAATGATAAAGAAAATAGTTTGTTGATGGAACGCTGCCTTACGATGACCCTCCGACCAGCACGATGTTTCATTTGCAGTCCTTTTTCCTTCTTCTTCACTCGGCTGTAGCAAATACTCACTCAGTGCACATAAGACAAAAACTGGTGTTCATACGCTACGAAACGCAGGGAGGTCAAAAATGTGTGGCCCTCGTAAAGCATTTGACCTCAAAAACCAAACGAATTGATTCGATATATCGATATATATCGAGCAGACGATGCAGCTTTCCACTGTAAAATCTCGAAAATATCCTATGGTACTATAGACACGGCGAAATTGGAAAGCCCCGTCAAACTTAATGTGATGCAAACTTGAAGGAACGAGTTGTAGTAGGGTGGATATAGAGATATAGGAGACCCAATCACTCTACTGTTTGTTCCATTGTGCACGAGGCTTGGCGGAGGGATGCAAATTCCCACTACTTCCACTGTAACCAGGACGCGCTGTGCTGGGTCCACTGATAGATGGGGTGAAGCACTCTGCTTAATTCCATTGTGTAACCTGAATTAGCAAGGTATGGACAGATTGTGTGTAACCAGGCCAGATGATGTTCACTAACTGTTTGAATAAAGCCTCTGTACGCGTGACCAATGCACACTGAATAAAAGAAGTAGTTAAAAGAATAAACATGAAATGGGATCGCAGGTAAAGGATCTTGATCTTTTATTTGTAATCTTATGGAGGACCTGATTTCAAATGTGAGAAGCCTGCCCGCCCAGATCGTTGGTTGGCTGTTCCTATTGGCTGTCGTGTACAAATGCCACCCTTATTTAGTCTAATTATAGAATCTGTAATATAAGCCGAATCACTAAATACAAGTTTTGTTTATTATGTTTTCTTTTCAAAACAGATGATAGTCGTTAAATCCCGATTCAGTTACCCAACCAGCAAACAGTCGCATTACCGTGACGGTTTAGTTCAATCTATAACGGTGCCCCTTTGGTCGATTATTGATGAATGGCTGAATCGAAGGGTTTAAAGCTAAGACTATTCACAAATAATGAGATGTCGCTTGACGGAACTAGATTGTGATGGCATTTTTAACATAAACTATAAGGTTTATCAATTGGCTCACCGATTAAAATTTACTAATATTTGTCCGGTTTTTTATAGGATGTTTCAGAGGTATATCAGATTTCACTGCATGTTTGAACGATATGTTATACGCGTTAAGTGTTCTTTTATTGCGGTTTCGATCGATGTTGTCGTTAGCATCAGTTCCTTTGCCCTAATGGAGTCGTTTCTTTGATTCTGTACACAAATCTTTCACGTGTTTGTCCGTTTATTTGCTTAGTTCCCAAACGATTTCATGTAGAAAGTCATCCGAATGAGCACCCGCTTGGTTCAATAAACGAAGTAACCAAACAGGTGAGTAGCGATTTCGTTTTTATGTTTTGCGTGGCTTTATCCTTTGTGCTTCAAAAACTCTACAGTTGGGGTCAGATAACGATCGTGTACTGTGATATCAATCAGTTCAGTTCTTACAACCATTAACCATGCACTTTCGTGCGCCGGTTTTGGTTTCTGTCTTTTGGTTGCCCATTTGGATAAAACAGCAGAATGATGATTAAAATATCGACAGCAGA